AATATAACCTAAACATAACCCCCAGCCTCTCATCCTAAACTACTAACAACTATAACCTAAACCAACCTCAGCCCCTCATCTAACAACTATACAACTAACAGTAACCTAACTCCAGCCTCCTAGACTCTTACCCTAACCCTAATTACTCTACTTTGACCCCAACACTAACTTAAAACCTCACCCCAGCCCCTCATACTAACAAACTAACTACTGACAGTAAACCTAACTCCAGCCTCCTATCTCTACCCTAACCAAAACTTACTTCTAGCCCTTGCAACCAACATAACCTAAAAAGTCTAACCCCCGCCCTCATACTACAACTAACTCTAACCTTAACCTCAGCCCTCATACTAACACTAAGCAACTACAGTAAACCTTATACTCCAGCTTCCTCATCCTATACTCTAACCCTAATACCCAAACTTACTCTAACCTTGACCCAACAACTAACCTAAAGGCTAACCCCCACCGCCCCTCATACTAACAAACTAACCTAAGCTCACCCCAACCCTCATCCTAACCCAAACTTACTTCTAACCTTGACCCCACACTAACCTAAACCTCACCCCCGCGCCCTCATACTTAAACAACTAAACAACTAACAGTAAACCTAGACTCCAGCTTCCTCATCCTAACCTCTTAACCCTAATCCAAACTTACTCTAACGCTTGACCCAACACAAAACTAAACCTAACCCCCCCCCCCTCATTACTAAAACTAACTAAGCCTCACCCAACGGCCTCATCCTAACCCAAACTTACTCTTACCTTGACCCCACATTACACCTAAACCTAAACACCCGCCCCTGCATACAACAACTAACCTATAAGCCTCACCCCAGCCTGCATCACGTAACCCAAACTTACTCTAACCTTGACCCCAACACTAAACCTAGCCTCCCCCAGCCCTCATCTAACCCTAACCAACCTAGCTTAACCCAACATCTAACCTAAACCTAACCGCAGCATCCTCATACCGCTGCGGGGCAGTGGACGGACTCACCTTCGGCCGGTGAGCTGGAAGTAGATCGCCTGCTCGGACAGGGCGAGGCCGCGCTCCTGCCGCGACTTCTCGACTGAGCAGCCGCGATGAGAGAGTCATCTTCTCGAGCGACGTCGGTCGGTACTTCTCCTCCGTCAGGGCGATGATGTCGTCGTCCTCCTCCTCGTCGTCGTCCGACACCACCTTCACCTGCGCGGCGAAAGAGGAGAGGGAGGAGAGGGGGTGAGATGCGAGGAGGAGATGATAGCGCACACAGAGATGCCTATTACCTATACTCCAAATTGAGATGTCTTGGTTTGCCGTTGCTCTACATACACTCTACAGACTTACCGACGTGACTTGCTCGAGACTCTCTTCATCTGAATTTCTCGTCACGTTTCAAAGCGAAATGAATAATCAGTCGTGTGGCAGACTAGGGCAGTTAACATAGACACATATAAAGCTAAGTGAATAGTCAGTCATGTGAGAGACGAGTACTTTGTGTAGCCACCTTCAAGCTAATAGATAACCAGTTATGTGAGAAACTAGGCCCATGAGAAACCCACCTCAAAGCTACATCAATAGTCTTGCAAAAGACACGGGTGCTTACGTAGAGATGTTTAATACTACAAGAGTAGCCATGTAGGTACAAGACATGGGTGCATACCAGACATGTTTAATACTACATGAGTAGCCATGTATGATGTACAAGACATGGTGCATTACACACGACATGTTTAAATACTACAAGAGTAGCCATGTATGTACAAGACATGGGTGCATACACAGACAGTTTAATACTACAAGAGTAGCCATGTATGTACAAGACATGGCGTGCATACACAGACATTTTAATACTACAAGAGTAGCAATGTATGTACAATAGATTGGGTGCATACACAGACATGTGAATACTACAAGAGTAGCCATGTATGTACAAGACATGGGTGCCATACACAGACATGTTTAATACTACAAGAGCAGCCATGTATGTACAAGGACATGGGTGCATACACAGACATGTTTAATACTACAAGAGTAGCCATGTATGTACAAGACATGGGTGCATACACAGACATGTTTAATTACTACAATGAGTAGCCATGTATGTACAGGACATGGGTGCATACACAGACAATGTTTAATACTACAAGCAGTACCATGTATGTACAGGACATGGGCGCATACACAGACATGTTTAATACTACAAGAGTAGCCATGTATGTACACAAAGACTATGGGTGCATACACAGACATGTTTAATACTACAAGAGTAGCCATGTATGTACAAGACATGGGTGCATACACAGACATGTTTAATACTACAAGAGTAGCCATGTATGTACAAGACATGGTGCATACACAGACATGTTTAATACTACAAGAGTAGCATGTATGTACAAGACATGGGTGCATACACAGACATTTTAATACTATACAAGAGTAGCCATGTATGTACAAGACATGGGTGCATACACAGACATGTTAAAAACTAAACGAATAATCGTGTCACTCGTGTGTATGAGAAATATGCACGCATTTTTAAACGTCTAAGCGAACGGTGGCGCGTGCGTGCGCGAGACTCGGGTGCTTACGTATTCGTGGTCCTTGGTGCCGAGGTAGAACTCGATCATCGTCGAGATGGCGCGCATGCGGTTGAGAAACTCGCACTCCTCGCCACCCATCTTCGCGATGTCGAGGAAGAAGACGAAGAACTCGGCGAGATGCTTGCTGTGCGGCTTGCAGTGGTGCGCTCCGTGCGAGATCTGCAGCAGCGCGCCGTCGTCACGACGACGGCGGGACGAGCGGAGCTTCGTTAGCAATTAGTGTGACTGACGCGTCCGAACCATCATTTAGAGGTTTCTGACTTGCAGTTATCAGAGTCTCAGTGACTAGCATGTTTTTTAGAGGGGAGGGTAATAATTAATTGGATTTTATGGACAGGTGTATAAATGCAATTAACTGATCAATATTTAAAGATCGTTACGAGTCTCATGGCGAACAAAAATTAATTTGAAGGTGGTAGTTGAGTATGGTACTGTCACAGAAATGGTATTGAACTGCATAAGCTTCAAATGTAGCTTGGATGGGAAATGTGAATCCAAACTTACCAAAGACAGAAGCATTTTTACAAAACGTGTTACGCAGGACAAGTTGCCCATATCTCCCTCTTTACCATCGTCTAGTCCTCTGAAAAAGCAACCATCACCTTTTATACCCCTACTGTTCGAATACAATACACTACCCCTATCACATAAGATGACCTGAAACAGTAACACTATGTTTACATATACTTGTATTTAAGAACACATGTAATATTAAAACACTCACTTTGCACATTCACAATACATACTGCAGAAACTTAAATATAACCAGAGATGCAGAAAATCGTTCTGCGAATATCAAGAATCGCAGACACATGGATTTACGAAGCTGTCAGTCATGCGCATCGGTCACTTACGTGTACGAACAATTCACACGGTTTGCAACATACCTGCCACTTTTGAGATAGAGAGCATGGTGACTCGGCCGCAACTGGTTGATCACATGAATGCACAACCTGTGAAACATCTGCGGATAGCGAGAGAGAGAACAGTAAATCAAGTCCTACTCATTCTCTACATCTCTCCTTCTCCCTCTCCATTTCTATTCCCATCGGTATCTTTACCCTCCATCTCTCTCTTCATCACCCACTAATTCTGTCTCTGTTGCTTACTCTGTTGTATATATTGCAACTCTCGCAAGTCCTTTCTCTCACGAGGCAAAAAGAACAATTACTTTAGCCTAGTCTTCAACGCACACACACCAGTACTGATGCCTTCCTTGCAAATCTTCAGGACCATCTAACGAAATTTTCTTGAGATTTGCTTTTAACCTCAATTACTCGCAGCCATCTTGTGAACATGTCATATCCAAGTATGCAACATCGTGTCGCGCAAATTTCACGAGACGTTGAGAACTTGCGAAAAAGATGTGCCGACGAAAGAAGAGATACATCACGTACCTGTCTGACTACTTGATTGGGACACTTTATAAGTATCTGCACTGGCCACCACTGGTCGTCTGCCATATGTCCCAGGAACCACTGCAATAGAACACCAATGGCATAAACTCTCAAGATCCATAAACACTGCATCACGTTTCAACAACTCATGGCGGTTCTACTTGAATCTAACGCTGTCGATAAATGCCCATTAGTAGTGCTCAGTGCTCGGTACGAATTATCCATTCAATGTGATAATTAGAGGGATTAAACTGAACAAAAACCCGTTATGACAGCTTAACAGTGTGCTACAGCAACAATTATTGTATGTAGAATCTGTATTGTTACATGCAATCTCCTGCTCTAACGTTTACTCCTGCTAACGATTTAATCTAATTGTACGCTTTTTCAATTGTGTTTTGTTGCCAAATCAGTGTATGTTCATGTCTTGATGGTTTGAGTCAGATTCATAGGTAGATATTACTTGGATGAAGGCAATGAGTTAGACTTGCACCAGCTTTATAGCCCCATATCCAGACAAGGCCTTTCTATGACATTATATGAGAACAGAACAGCACACGTGATGCTAGCATGGATGGGATGACTGTGACACCTACCTCGCATGATTCATGACTAGCATTAAACTGTTTTGTGAGAAGCTCGATCCACTGCAGCATGGTCGGCTGAAACACAACGAAATGAACTAAGTCAGCAACATGTGATTACAACAAGGACACTAGATGTCACCACAAGCAAGGCTAAATAGGGCCCGACTAAATATCATAATGATATTAAATAGAACATTGAATATAGAAATATTGAAAATAGAATATTGAAATTAGAATAGAATTCGAATAAACTATTGACCTGCTCTACGTTCAATCAGATCATGTGAACACATCCAGTTATTTATTTTCAATAATTCATGGTACAGTCAGGTCCATCATTTTGCAAGTCTGCTACTTCCATAAGTTTGATGTCACACATATAGACTAAATCAAATTTAATAGTGTTACAATAAACTAGTTGGTGTTAGATTAATTCTGGGAGTGTATTTTGACATTAGATATCAGAGTAATCTAGTTGTGATTTTCAACATAATTGTACTATTGTTTGTAGCATAATTGTAGCATTTAAATTGTAATTGTAACAACCATGTGTTTGCTATCTCATTTCAAATCTGTTTAACAAACCTTTTCCTTTGAATGGAGCAGAGTCTCTAGTACAAACGATGTGCTGAGCTGACAGGACATCAGTGAGACCTCACTGGGGTCAGGAAGAGTCATCGGTATATACCCACATAGCTGCCACATAAACCTGTAACAAGAAAGCAGCAAAATACTGAAACCATCACGCTGAAAGACAGTTACACTTGTATGTTGTTATTCATTACTCTATTTATGAAATATAAGGGACAGACATTTTCTTGTTTGAAGCTTTATTTATCAATTAACAGACTATATTCCCTAGCATTCAGAAAAGATAATATCAATATCAAATATAGCTTTAATAAAAAAATAATTAACCTACCCAAAGTATGTGTGATCGAAGATGTTTTTATCCTGCAAGAACTGTGTGTTGTCCTTCCAGATCCACTGCAACAGAGAAACGTTGCTAAGTACACTTATGTATAACTAAATACTATATTATTTCGCACACTAAAATATGTGCGATGAAATGAGCAAAACATAACCAGTAATTTAGAAAGCAGTAACAATGATATGGTAAATTAAAGTAACAAATTGTAAGCATTCTACTTATAAATAAAATTATTTCTAGAATGAGGTTGTTCTTACTACTAATCTCGTTGGCGAATAACCGTTTACAATAAGGTTTAAATCTTTATTTTAAATTTTTACACCCACTTGTGAAAGCTCTTCGGAGAGGTCAAAGGTTGGCAGAGTGACTGGCTTCTCTGATAGGAGGCTATCTGATGGCCTCTTGTTGTCGCATCGCTCATAGAACAACATGTAGGCACTGTTGGTCTGTAGCAACATCAAAACTACATGTTAGAATTCTCACGTTCACGTGGCATTAATTTTATAGAAAGAACTTCCACGTGAAACTATTCTAACAACAAGTTACCTATCAGGACATGATAAATGTAAAAAAATGCCTGTCATTAAAAACGTGCAATAATTTGCATCTTCAGAATACATCACAACATCATCTCTGTTCATTCAAATCCCCACCGGTTCATAGTAATGCAAATAACATGAAACAGTTCATTCTTGACTGACAAAATTTGAAGTTCGATGAAAAAAAAGATGTGGATAATTCTTGCCGAAGCTTTCACTGACCTCGCTCTTAGCCCTCACCAATACGAAATAATCTAGTTTCGTTTAACGCAAAACGAGTTACGCCAGGAAAAAAATTCCTGTTCATTCCAACGACTCACCTTTTCAAACGAAAAGTCCATGAACTTGTCATTCACGGAATCATACGTCTTGCTCTGTGGAACAGCAAATCGTAGCATTACGAGCATTAGCATTGACTAGCAGCACCAGCGTCTGCCATGTATAACACGATTGCAAAGATTCACTTCATCGCATTCACCGCACACTCACAAATCTGCACGGCCGGCAATATACATCCTGTGCTATACGGAAACAATGAACGTTTAACCACCTTTCAATCAATTTCCGAAAGTGCACACCTATTTTATAAAGATACCTACATTACAGGAACGTGATTACTAACAAGGTAACGAGATGGCCTGACAAGGAAAACAGGGTTTTTTTCTTCTGCACCCAACTTTTTCTAAGAGAATTAACTGCTAAATTACATCGGGTGTGAGCCGAGGTATAGTCAAGAGTTGATACCTTGCTGCATGATCACTACAGGAATAGATGGAAACTACATGTTTTTGTACTTACAGTCATTTCGCCGCCAAAGCACTCAGAAGCAATCTGAGCAGGATCGAAGGGCTTCACCTCAGCATCATTGAATAGGTACCTGCCAGGTAAGAGAACACAGGTGATGAGATACACAGATGATGAGATACACAGACATTATCAATATTCCACACAATAGAGTAAACACTCAACATAGTGGTTTTGTATACTTGTGTTTTACCCTGGTGATAGTGATAGAATGACTCTGTACTATTTTGAGAGCTTAAGCCTAGAATGAAATGTATGTAATTAATGTAGTGTGAGTAATTAAAACCAACACTGAATTGCACTATTCGATTATATATCTATGAAATGGATTGGCATTCATTACAATAGTAAATATATTATATCAGGAGTGAATAAAAATCACACCTGAAATATGCATATATAAAGAGAGAGAGAGAGAGAGAGAGAGAGAGAGAGAGAGAGAGAGAGAGAGAGAGAGAGACAGAGACAGAGAGACAGAAAGAGAGGGGCAGAGAGAGAGAGAGAGAGAGAGAGAGGAGAGAGAGAGGAGAGAAGGGAGAGGGAGAGAAAGAAAGAGAAGAGGGAGAGTAGAGAGAGAGAGAGATCATCAACCACTTGTCCTGGTTGGCACATATCCGGTCCCGGATGAAGCTGAGTAGTGACGCGACCCTCACCGTGGCGCGAGTGTGCACTGTCATTCCAATGAGGTCATACTCGTAGCTCTCCACCTCACCACCTGCTGTCCAAACGAACCAGACATAACATACAAGCATCGTGTCAAGGGGGAATGACAAGAACCATGGCCACCGGTTGACCCCAACGCGTCAATTCTTCGGCATCATGCGCCGGTCGGAACTGTCCCATATTCCCACCCGACACGTCTCGATCAAATACTTGAATATATTTGTATATATATATATATATATATATCATATATATATATATATATATAAATGTGCATGTATGTATATATCAATATATAATATATATATATATATATTGATATGGGCCGCTTAGCTGTTGGCATTAGGTTAACGTGAGTGGAACAACAACTGAAACAAACCTAGGGCGCAAGGTCAATTACTGAAAGACGACATGTACTCCTTGCAAATATCATCGAACACGGGTCACGGTACCATTTTCAAATAATGAAACCCTGCCGAATACATATACAACAACAGGTGTATGCACACGCACACGTGCACGCAACGCACAGCACGAACTGCGCACCGACAAACCACGCACAGCAGACGCACGCCATCGCAACACACACCACACACGGGGACACACACACACACCCACACACATGTATATATCCCTCAGCAGTCCCACAAAACGCGGCACGTGCACGTTGCCGCGGCGACCGGCGACTCACCCTTCTCGCTGGCCGTGCCCATGAGCTGGTCCTCGGTGTATCCGGTCATGTCGAGATGCAGTGGGAAGCTGAAGTGTGTGTTCACCTTCTCCTTCATCATCGTGATCATGTTGAAGAGGTAGCGCATTGTGTTGAAGCAGAGGATGCGTGGCAGCTTCTTGAAGCAGGCCCTGCATGTGTGAATCACACACGTTAGGGAGGAGCGCGCGCTCACCGCGACGCCGACACCGACACACGCAAGCATCTTTACTCTTATTCTGCTCTCATACCGGATGATTTTCTTTTAGATATAATGTCACACTTCAGTAACATGAGCTTGGGCATCATGGGTTACAATCCGAGGGGTTAACATGTAAATTATTCATGTACATATGGTGCATTACATGTACTATTAACATGCGCATGGTTCTGCTCGAGCGGCTACTTATTTAATAATCATAATTGATAAATAATAAATAAAATTTTAATAATTTATCCTAAGTAGTTATTAAAAAATTTTAATTGAAAAATTATCGTAATAGAATGTATTCGTGGATAATTACATAAATTGTGTTTATCAAATGAAATAAATATGATACTTGTTCTACAATGAAATCTAATTGGCTGTGCTGTGCTAATATTGTGATATTTATTGAAACTAACCATTATCACATTCTGCTGGGTGCAGTATTATATGCCAAGAACCAAACCCATTATGGTTATCTATGAAGTGGTGGGGGGGGGCAAAGAGGCAGAGTGTACACCCAAAATCTTTATGTTCAAGATATTCATGGTAGCAATGTCATTGCTCTACATCCATTAATATCTACACGTTTGCAGTTGGAAAATATTCACCACGAATCAGCTCTCGACTCTTAAGACACGACATGGATTTTGCGACAGGACACAGCAGAAACACTAGACACAGATGCTTGCCGTTTTTCCGCTCGGACCTTCTTACTGCACTGCGAACAAGTGTACATATTGTCGCCCTCTAAAGTATCCTTCACTGTGACCTCATCCAGTGATTCCTGCAAGTAGGCAAACCCACCAGAACTTGAATTCTCAGTATGCTATATCAGAGCAGAAATTATTTTAACCAAAAATCATCAAGAATTGAACAAAATCTTTTGCTTTTGTGCAGAACTCCTGACACAGCCAAGCTAAAATATTTGCAGATATCAATACGATCAAAATTAAATGTGTTGATGATTTACAGTATCAATATAGGAAATCAAAATGAAATGGGATGAAATAAGATTCATTATTTGGTTTACATAAATAAATAAGTATAAATAAATAAATATAAGTAATACTCACATAAAGGTTCTTCATGTCTGACACTTGACATCTAACACAGTAGAACTCCTCTTCTGTTTTGCTAACATGAGGGCAGTCCTGTGTGGATAGTGCAACATGCTTGTATTATACACAGGCACATTACTACATGTGGCTGGCATTGGCAGAGATGCCATTAATTGCCACTACTAATGGTATTCACAAGAAATACTTTCTTATGATTAAAATTACATCTTAAGCTGCTGGTGTAAGTGCATAACATCGAGGAATAGTTCTTAATTCCCTTTTCACAACAATATGACTTAGTCACATGCATCTGCAACGTGATAAATTCATCATATTTTTCAATCCCAGGAGACAAGTATCAAGATTTTAAATAGGCTTACCAATGATATCACGTTATTCGTTATCACTCCACTGAATAAATTCTTCACTAGTTCCTTCTGCAAAAGTATCATAACCATATATGTAAATCTGCAACACGAGTATTAGAAAATATGTAAACACTGGAGTGCCTACTATGCCTAGGGTGCCTTAATAGGGTTTTAGGTATCTACTGTTATACACTAATATAAAGGGAGTATGCAATGTTATGTGATACCATTACATATTAGCCCTACGGAATAGTGTAATATTACATAGTAATGTGACGACATTATACTACGAGACATTGTGCTATTGTATAACATTTTTACGTCGTAATGCTATGGAACAGCATGACCTAACATAGCACACTACGTGGTATTGTGTTATGAGATGGTGTGATACAATGCAACGGTGTCGTCCGGTAATGCAACAGAGTGTGCGATGTTGTCCCTACTCACCAGCTGAGGCGACATCTCCTCCAACTTGCTCACTAGATCAGTGAAGAACTCAGTCATGTCCTTCTGCTCTCCTGTGTTCAGTGGCTGATTGTCCATCGTGTACACCTTACAGAAGTTCTTCGGGTTGTACACCTTTCGTTCACTGTCCTGAAAGTTCCACGCCAGAGATTAGTTCTTTTTGACGCATGCACATTTTAGGCATTGGATAGATAATCCTTTTTAACTGCTGTTTGTTTTGTTTGTTTGTTGTTGTTGTTTTTTTGTTTTTTTCAACCGATATATGATACATTATATTTCATTGATTCACGTGGTACTAATAATAGTGTGGTGAAACACATTGACTATGCTGCAGAACCATAATGATCTATTAGACTTCATGACAATCTGATTTCTAAACCTACAATCAAGCAGGGTTATGGTTTATATCCTAAAGTAAAAAAAATATGATGGTTCACGTCTATATATAACGATGAAAACAAATTATAATGATATATTTAATCACTTATTACCTCCGCGCAACGGAGTTGCAGGGGAAGTAATGTAATCGGTCTCGTGTGTGTGTGTGTGTGTGTGTGTGTGTGTGTGTGTGTGTGTGTGTGTGTCCAGTCCGCGCGGCGCGATCGATAGTGCGTTGAGTCAGCGAGCGGCGAGTCAGCAGCAGGCGAGTGAGTCAGCAGCAACC